TTTCTACATCAAAACCATATGTGGAATTTAGCTTGAATAGAAAAAAAAACACAATAGAAAATCTCTCTATGATGCATGTCTGAGAAATTCTCATTATTTTAGTTCTTTTATCTGAGCAGAAGCTCCTCCCTGACCTTTGATAAAACAAACACCCACTCCCTCCGATCTTTGAACGGTGATGTGAAACAGGGCACAATGATTTCTGTTAAAGGTTTAGACAAAGTGGCTCTTTTAACATCTAATCTTAACTTTTTTCTCTTTTTTGTTTTTTGCTTTTTAATGTATAAGTCATGAAATCCTAATGAAATATGCGGCACCCAGATGGGGACAGGTGGCTTTGTGTTTTTCTTCAACTTGGACAAAAAAGCAGCTTTGATTCATTAAAAAAATATTGCCATGTGGAGCTAAAGGCATAATTTCATCATATATTTTCTTTTAGTGACTAAAAAGGCTTAAAAAAGCAGGATGAAGGACTTTTAGAATATAACCTCCATCAAAGGACCCAATATTTTGCATGATATGATGAGTTTACATGCTTTATTTAAAAAGAATATTGTTTCTTTCTAATGTTAAGCTATCCACAATAGTGGATTAATTAAATGCATTAAACTGTTTATCAGGAGAGAAAAAAATTATTTTACTGGTGATCTTGTGATTATTTATTATTGGCAAAACCTTTAAATGGATCAATGGGATCAGTTAATTTTGCCATTTAAAATGGTTTTATGTTTCAGTTTAAGTGAATACTGTTAATATAATTGCTTAGGTTCCTTATTTGGAGTAATTATGAAGTCAGAATATTCAGCTGAAACTGCAGTAATTTTAGATTTTCTGATTTAATTGCGAAAAAGTATTACTAAAACTTTCTTGGCTCAATAAGCAGCGTGCGTCGGATATAAGGTAGACATGAACATGAAAGCTCTCAGACAGGAGGATGTAAACAGACAATATTTTTGTTCTGGACACAGTTACATCACTGGAGGAGATCCCATCGGAGAGACAGAGGATTTGTACCAATAACTGAAGTAAGGAAAGAAGGGAAAAACAGAGACACGTCTCACCAGCTGCCTTCCCTGCATTCCCCAGGCTGCATGTTGGAGTACAGAGTTCGGAACCTCGGGTGGGTTCAGCTCCCATACTTCCCTGACAAAACACAACAGCATCAAAAACCCACCATCTGTTAGTTCCTCAACACAACCAGGTTCAAGCTCAGACAGAAGCGCTCACGCAGCCTCACCTCGTGTCGATGTTGTACACAATATAAGACGCTGTGTATGAGTATCTGTACACCTGCAATAAGAAAAGAGACGACAAAATGTAAACACTGACAAGATATTAATGCTTTTTCATATCAGCCGCTCTGAGCAAACATAGCAGCGGCTAATAATGCTGGGACGTTCATGAAAGTAATAAAGTAGATGACATAAAGTAAATAAATACAGCATCATATCTTATATTTACATGGAGATGAGGCGTACTCGAGAGAAAGATGGATGATGTCGAATATTTCAGTAGATGATATTTGTATCAATTGGAAAATACCAGTATTGCGATATTGATTTAAAATAAAGCTGAATTGATTTAAAATGCAAATAATATTTACAGGCAGGCTGTTAGAGTAATTTTGTTTTTTTCCAAATTAACATTTTTTTTTTAAATATTGTTAAACGAATTGTCTTTTACAGATTACATTCTCTTCACTTAACACTGATCAAAATGTTTTTGCCTGCGCCTATGCAGACAAATGAGAGATCGTCGTCGCTTGTACCCTATAGGAATGCAATGCATTAAACTCAGTTTAAAAAAGACAAATTTGATACTGTATACTCTAATGACACAAAAAAAATATATAGTAAAGAAGAATTTAGAAAGGAAAATTAGCACATATAAAAAATGTTGGAAAAATTTGAGATTGAGAAAACCACAAATTTACACTCACAACCTCTTTTTGATTAAGACGTTTTTCAAAGTTTAATTTCAGGGTTAAATTTTGTTTGTTTTTTTTACAAATTTTAATTTGGAAAAAACTGAACAACATTCACTCCATATACCTCTCCATAATTTAAAAGATGTCATTGAAATGCACATGGTACTGTCAGACATTAAGCAAGTCGCTACTGATACACATACACTTAGGGCCGGATTTATCAAGATCCAATTTTGCGTGCAGTAATTTGCGCTCGCAAACTGGAATTTTGCGCGAGGGGCTGAACCATGGTTTGCGGGTGATTTAAGTGATTGCGTAACTGGTGGCAGGTGCAAAACTGTTGGAGACGCCCTATTTAAATGATGGTTTTGCGCGTTTTGTGGTTTGCGGCAAAGTAGTTTGTAGTTTGTACAAACTAGTGCATTAAGAAATTTAAATCTTACAGTGACACCCCCACCCCCTCCAAAAAAATAAAAATAAATAAATATAGTGGTATGTGGCTGAATTTCTACTTCACTGCAGTAAAAAAAAAAAAAAAAAAAATATATATATATATATATATATATATATATATATATATATATATATA